TAAATTATATTATTTTAACAAGAAATTATATTTCTAGTGATAATCTTTATATGTATTTTTATAATTCATGAAAAATAAAAAAAAAACTACTATATTCCGCGGATCCCTCGCGGGATTTTAGAAAACTGCGATTTGCCTACCACTACCCAGAATTTATGGACTGCATTTTAACTAGAAATTAATTCACTATAATAGATTTATTACTTTAAAAATAGGAGGTTCATTTTATATGTTCGTTTAAATCCCCCCTCTCAAGAGTTCTAGAAAGTGATGTTAACCGAAAAATCAATTGCAAGCGTCCTAAACTGAATTAATGTACTGTAAAAGCTTCTTTAGAGGGTATTAAAAGTTCATAAGTAATAAACTTTATCCGATAATTGATCCTTGGTAGAGTCACCAAAAATCTGCGATAGCATAATATGCGCATAAATATGGATTTTATCGCATAGCATATTTTACACACCAAAGTAAATTTCACATAATTCAAGGAATTTGTAAAATTTTTAGCAGATTTAAGCATAACAACAAAAATTTGAAAACCCAGGAGATTCTGATGCAGACGATCAATGAACTAGAAGTGCAAATGTAACTCGGTAACTTCTCACAACTATAGTTAAATTATATTAAGTTACTAAGCAATTTACCACATTATTATCCATCATCAGTTACTTATAGTTACGGCAAGTTATACCTGCATCTCCACAGAGAACATAAAATACATGTATGTTTTTCGAAAGTTAATGTTTATTTTTTTTAATTTTGTTCAGAATTCTTGGCATAATTTAAACAATAGTAACTTCTTCGCATAATTTCGCATAAACGGGCTTGTGAAGTAGCCAGAACTTGGGATCTGTACCTAATCCGGAATTGTCATTTTCCATTCAGATGTTAGTTTTTTAACCAATCATAAATGGGTGTTCGATTTCATGTGATCACCCAAAATAAGAGACGGCATCAGAAATTGCGTAATCATTGTTTTTTTTCGCCTTGCATATAACATAAATAAACAACCATCGAAAAATGTAGACCAAAAATCTTTATATTTGAAGAACCTTTAGTTAATATACACGTTTCTTTACGCGTTATCTTTTTTTTTTATTTGAAAAAACCTTTTAGTTTTGCACGAGTCACGAAATCATTTTTTTTATTTAAAGAAACTACCTTTAAACATTCTGCAGGTTAGTATTATATTTGTGAACGATTTCGAGAACAGAAGGTTTTTTTATTTTAGTTTAAGACGTCTATTAAGGCCTAATTGTTCCGGAGAAGGAATTAGTTATGTACTTAATAGATGTATACCAGGAGGCTTTGTGATTTATCACTTCGTACTGGTATGTCTTATCTAAAGTAAACAACCTTGGCTTATTACGAGGATTTCTTTGTCTGTCTGTACTGGCTTCAGAAAGTGTCGAGTCGGCTATTAGTATCACAGCTTGATAAGGGTGTTTAACTAAGTAACGCTATTAGCAGCTCCATCTGTATATGAGCGTCTTACAAAGTTATTTCATTCGGACACGCGGAACTTAGAAGAAACTTGGATAATTTCAGCAATTATAAAAATTTCGTTGCTAAGAACCAATATCGTCAGATAATTGCGAAATAACCGACAATAATACTCGTTTCGTCTGGACGTGAGGAACTTGCAAGAATTGGATGATTTCAGCAATTACGAAATTAATTTCAACTCAAGAATTTGATAAATTTAGGTCGAATAATTTAGGCGTCATGTATGGGTTTATGCTGGCTTGAATAAGGGTGTCTAAGTAGGCTTTCGGGCTTTTACTGGCCCTTTGCAAGTGAGTAGATCCAGTTACTGGCCTTTTGGCAAGTGTTAGCGCTGTTACTGGCTTTTTGAAGTGTCTAGTCGGGATTTGGAATTTCGCGTAATAAGCAATATAATATCTGATTATTTTAGTACTTTACTAATTTTATTTTATTTTATTGTTTAGATAATAAATGTCGATTCCAAGCTATGGATTATTCATTAATTAAAAAATATGCGTTAATATTATTGAAAAATACATATTATAATTAAATCGTTCAATAAAATGTCATTTTTGTATTATTTTATTATATTCATATTTCTTGGTGTATATAAAAAAAAAGCGATTTTGTAAATGTAATTATTTAAACAAAAAGGATCGTTAATATCTGGGTGTCATTTATTGATCCCATCAATTATGATATACAAATATGCTATACGAATATTTCAGTGTCAGTTTTATATATAGAGACTAAAGTTTAAGGGGAAACAAAATAATGCTGATGATACTGGTGACTATCTAACATCTGATTGATTGTTATATTAAATTTCACAGTTTCACCACCAGTGCAAAAAATTTCGGCGTGTCGTAACTAGAGATGGGTTTCATGCGTGCGCATGATTCCGTTTCATACGCATTTTATCCTATCAAGATTTCTCTCCTCTCGATCGTTTTTTCTTTTTTTTGCCTTTTTTTATCATGCGATATCATGCGCATTAATGCGCATTTTTCCCATCACTAGTCGCAACCTACTTTTTTTTCGGTAAACGAACGTTAGAAAATCCTGCAATCTATTTTATATTATAAAATTTTCAGCCGCTTTAGAACTAAGCTGGAAGTCAACTTATTTAAACGGAACCTCCGGCATTTTACAATAGAATTTTGTGCACTATTCACCAAGAGTTTTATCGGTTCATCAGGGCTATATATCAAAATTGAGTTTTTCAAGATTCGGATAAATTCTACTGCACGAATGCTACACGAAAGCCATTATCTGATTATTCCAACTAGATTGACAAATAAATTAAAATTACGAGATTTGCATTTGCGTCAACTTGCACTGCACTTATGCAGATCTTGTCGAAGAGCTAACCTTTTTAGGTATCAAAAATCATTATCAATATTTGTAAATATGCACTTACGTGAGGCTTATATTTTTAAAAGTCGATGACTAAAAAATTTACAGAAAGAAAACTCACTTATCATCTTTAAGTCCATTATTGTCTCTCTCTACTGTACTCATAACCATTTCTGAATACAAGACTTATACACAAAATTATATTACCCACGAAAGCAATTTGTTATCGACCATCGGTTAAATTATCTAAACCCGTAGAACTTTATTTGTAATCCAGGTAATCACTCAAATTATCCAGATAGAAATCTTATAAATATACCTTCTTTACAATTGATTAATTTCTTTACATTCGACTAATTTTTTTTAAACTCGGTTGGATTCTCAAAAAAATCTCTGGTACTCAAAATGTTGAATTTTTGCAGTTTGTTTAAACAGTTTAAAATCTCTTAAAGAATGTGTAGAAAATTTTTTGGCTAGAGACTTACCATTGCACATTCTGTAAGTTTCATTATTATGATTATACGTTAGTTTAACTGTTACAAGTTTAACCTAACTAATTGATTATTTTTATCAGAATTAACAATGTGGGAGTTACTGCAAAGTAAGTAATATATGATTTCTTTTCACTTGTAGTTTTACTTGTAGCCATAAGAATATTTTGGATAGCAATTTAATTTAATAAAAAAGTTAAATCATGTTGACACTTTGTAAGTAAATAAAGAAGTAAACAAATAAATAAATTATTAACTTATTAAATAAAAAGAATTTATAACAACGAACCTTTTTTTTTTTTTTATTGATAGCTATTCATTAAATTGTTATTGTAAAAATTAAGGCTTCACACCAGCACGTATAGTAAATGTTAGCAGTCATGTTCACAGAAGATTTGCTCCTGAGAGTGGACTTGATTTCGGAAAATTAAATGATCCAAATGCACTGGGCTCAATGCAATGTTATGGTCAATCAAAGCTTGCAAATATTTTATTTACTAACGAATTGGATAAACGATACCATGAAGGGAAGCAAATATATGCTAACTCTCTTCGTCCAGGTATAATAAAATGGTTTTCTCAAAATTAACTAAACCAATTATTACACAATTAACTAATTACGATATTTAATTAATTAATTAAAATTGTTGTTTTTTATTTAGGAGTCGTAGATACAAAATTGATAAAAGAGAGATATATATCATTGCCAGAAGAGTTTGTTTCATCTTCAATCACACCTGATGATGGAGCTATTACTACTTTATATTGTTCTACAAGTCCAGAAATTGAAGAAAAATTATCGAACAAAATATTTTGAACCATTTGATAAAGAAAGTGAACGATCTCATATGCTCAAGATGATGATTTGGCCAAAAACCTTTGAGAATTTTCTAAATGAAAAATTATAAAAATTAATTGATTTATTATTCATTTGTTATGTAATGTTAGGAACCAAGATGAGGTTGGTCCAACGTGAGGTGAGGTCAATTAGTATTTAAAGTCTGTTAATGATTAGTAATCATTAACAATACTAATTAATGTTGGTCCTCACATTTAGTAAAACAGATTGTCATAAATATAATAGCTAAATGAATATCGTATAATTTATCGTTAATTAGTAGATATTCAATAAAGGATATTGCTAACTTGCCCTCCTGGTTAACATAACCACCCTCTTATTATAACTCCAAAATGACCTGAATAACCGTGCTTAACGTATTAAGTAAAATCTTTATAAAAAAAAACCCCCCTTATTAGAGCTTAATTCTAACACTAATCTTACTTCCAGCTCTATTTTTAATATTACAGTATAGTGTCGAAATTAGGCACCCCCGAAAATAAGCATCTCTGCCCCACTCCATGCAAAAGTTGGCCTGCACTACATGCAAAAAAAGGTACTTAATTTCAGAACTACAGTATACAGTAGTTTTAATGCTAATTTTAAAATTTATGTAAAGATTTATAATAAATTCTGAGTGGTTAAAATTTATAATTTTAATCAGTAATTAAAATTAGTTAAATTCATTAATGAATTTTAAAGTTAATTGGCTTTAAAAAATGCTTTCCAATCCGCGCTGCCGACTTGAATCTCAAATAAATTATGTTGTCTGCTTTTCATTTGCAGAATTAGTTATAATTGGGAACTAAAAGTGGTTTCATATATGTACATATTCTTGTTCATTGCTCATTTTACTTCATTTCGTTCTGATTAGTGGTCTATTCATAAAAAATTTCTTTGCATAGAAGTTAAACTTTTGTTGGACGGTAAAGATGCAGAAATATTTGAGAAACGGACTAGGTAAACTAGTCTTCGACAAACCTAAACCTCATTAGCAAATCAGTTACGTAAAAATAATATTGCTACTCAGCATTATACAAATTTTCAAGTGATTTATTATGAATTTTTATTACAGTATTTTTAAATTATATGGATTGAAACTCTATACATAACCGATTTGGGTAGTTCGTCGTCTTCAACAGATAGTTTGAGTTTTTTTAAAAAAGTGATTAATCCAAATTTGATATTAAATTTTTATGTGAACAAGGTCACATGCTTGAATGCGATTCGTCATATTAAACTGACAATCTTCTGATTGGGTGTTATTCTATTTTTAGAGCGCTATGTCTTCAAAGAATTGATTTTTTCAAACTAAAAATATCAATATTTGTGGTGGTTTATACTGAGATTGACTTATGCCGAGATTTGGAATACTTATTTAATCTGTAATAACTACCAAAATCTACATATACTCTTTTATTAATAAACCTAACCTAACTATAAAAAAAAGACTACAAGAATACACCCAAAATCTCAGTATAGGCTGTCACAATTAGTAATACAAAGGGTGTATTATATTAGTTCAACATGAAGTCAGTAGGGCGAAAAGAAAAGGACATGTTTGTAAATGCAGTGTATTCAAAGGTGTAGGGGGTGTTTATCTTTCTCTTTGCTATCCTTCGCCTCTAAAAAAACAGTCTATTATCACTTTCACTCACCTATTTCTGTATTTTGCAGTGACTCAGCAATAAGCTTCATTATTGATTATATGAAATATATTGGTAAGTAAAGTCAGACTTCGAGACGCAAAGACCTTAACGCAACTGTACAGAAAATTTAATTAGCGTACGTATTATTATTTAATAATAAAGTTTCCGATTGCAATAATAGCAGGATACCTTCTTGGTATTACTATCTACTCACTATAACTTAATAATTCTGTATATACCTGCATATGTATGTACGTACATACATAACTGATGTACATAAACTTTATTAACGCCAATCGTACTGGTCCTGCGCGGCACCATGTTCTGTTCAGCTATCTTATATGAGTGAAAACCAGGAAATACATTTAATAAGACCGACTATGACGTAAGCACAGGATGGATATTATCGCGAGGATCACCTGAATCAATTATAGTTCTAATAAGTCGGCATAATGATCATTCTATTTCTTTGAACATTGTGGGGCGTACACAGCTGTTCATTAAACTTCTCGGGACAGTATGGAGCGTTCACAGCTGTCAACTAACCCGATTCGTTGTAGTTTGCAGCATTGAATAGAATCGGTATGTCAAAGGCACAAAATATCGTTCGATGGTTGCCCTGATTTTGTTTTCTTTCTTTCCCCTTTTTTTCGAGGGGAGAGGGAGACCTTTCGATTATCCAGACATAGGGTTTCAGGCAACAATGAAAAGCAGCAAAGAAATCCAGCGCTTTGGTTGGTTGTTCATATTAGACTCGCTATATCTATGACCCAGCAGCTGTGTAAGCAGTACTATGAAAAGGAGAACAGTTGTGTACTCCTCACACTGTGCTGAGTAAGATACTAGGGGAAATAGATTGGTAATAAAGGCTAGAAGTGTTAAAGTGACCGCAATATTGGCAACTAGGCAGCGACACCATTTCTATAATTTTCTTCATATTGTATCTTTGAACTAATTGAATTGAGAAATTGATTTTTTTAAGAAAGTATTTAGTATACTGTAGTTGCAATGAAAATCAATAATTGATTTATTATGATTGGTTACGGGTTTCCACTCTCATGCACTCATATTTTTTGCTGTCCGGTACTGTACTATGTACGTATCAAAATTTGCAGTTACTAGCATTATGTAATTTGTTGATTACTTAACGATAGAATCAGAACTGCAAACATTGAAAATGTTAGCCTTTCATTCGTCGGTATACATATCCCTAGCAAAAAAAAAATTGTTATTGAAAATTTCCATTTTTAGTGTAATTCTGCTTTTCTCTCTGTGCTATGTTTTTTTTAGATGCATATATTTTATTGGTTCAGTACTGATCAACAACTAAATGTAACTCAGGCTCCGTACAAAAAATGCGTGAATGATCCTCGATTTTGATTGGCCAACGGCTGTGATCAACAAAATTCCGACCCGCATTATACATAATTTCGGCCAGAATTGATTTTTTCATTCCAAAAAGGAAAATTTTAAAGTTTGTGCCTATCCAAAGGTAAAATTAGCCCAGGACCATTTTTCACTTTAATAAGCAGCCGCGATTTCATTAGTAAAAATTTTTGTAATATTGGCCTAAATTTTTGACCATCAATCAAAATCGTGAATTTCTTGTGCGGCACCCTAAATGCACGCCCTATCCCTCATGCACGGCCAATTAATACAATACTTAATTTTACAATAATTAGGCTTTTAATATCTTATCCGTTACGTAAATTTAATTACAAGTCACTCTCGTTATAAAGAATTTTCTTCACTATATCGAGTAGGGATGGGCAATGCAATAATTCATGTAAGCAATATCAGCTTTTTAACCGTTACCTATTTTTACATATTTGTAATTCACAAGTTCAATTTAATACTAAAATTTTAAATTCTGTCGAACCAGTTTTTTTATTATTTATTACGTAAAAAATTGTATGAATTTTAAGTAATAATAAGTGACAGTGAGTAATAATAGGTGATAGTACATATAAAAATTTCCCATCCCTAATATCGAGAGTCTATTAGTAAATTCACTATAACGAGAGTGACTTGTAATTTGAGGAAAACGAAAATATGCATGCAACGCATGCATGTAAATGCAATAAATAATTTTTTAAAATTAATTTTGCAAATATATTAATCTGAAGAGACGACGGCATCATACATCCTTTAAAAATGTGTACATGTTTTATGTACAGTAGGTGCTTGTAGGCTTAAAAATTTCATTGTAATTGATTTACAAAATGTACATACAGTGAATGAGGAGAAGAAAATATTGTACATTCTTTAAAAATGTGTACATGCTTACCAGTGTTTAAAAGGTTCAATGTTTCTTTGAATTTCGTTTATTATAAATATCGTTAATTTTTCCCTTTAACCCAAAAACTTTGACGTGCAAATTTATATCTAAAGTGTGTATAATTTTTGGTTACTAATGCCAGTTTTTTATTTATCTCAATTTTTTTAATATTATATATATATATATTTATTTATTTTATTTTATTTTATTTTATTTTTTAGATGAAACTCACTTTTTTATTGCAATTATTCGTTCTCGGATTTTTTTTGGAGGTCGTTTTAACATCTCCATTAGTCACTAGACAAGGAACCCAAGGACTTCCTGGTTGTCCTCAAGGTGTAAACTTAATGAAGTGTGATATTAAACAACAAGTCGTACCCGGAGTGAATTCGGTTCCCTCTACTTCATGTCGTGGAACAGCTATTTGTAAATTTTCTGGACCGCCGAATGTTGCTGTTTGTACTAAAGCTGATACTACGTGCCCTAGAAGGCCTTTGTCAAATTTTGAAATCATTTGTTCAGCTCAAACCCGATGTGGATTTACCTGCAAATACTGTTCTCTCATCGGAGGTAAAATGGATTGTAAAAATTGTACTAATGGGATTAACAATCCTTAATCTATTTTATAATACATAAACTATTCGCTTTTTTAATAGCTATTAACGATATACGTTATCTTACTATTATATAAATCATGTTTTATTAAAGATATTTTCCTAATTCTTGTGATGTACGTAATCAAATTAAATGATTTAGAAAAAATTGTTAAACAAATATTTTATCACATGCTCTACATTGAATTAGAAGAAATTATTAAATAAATACTTTATCACTACAGTTAAATAACCGAACAAATTTTCTACCATATTTGGATTTTATTATTGCATGCATTTCCATAAAATTTCCATCCATAATCAGAGTTTTGTAATGATATTTACTATAATTTAACTTCATAATGTTTCATAAATACTTTGATTTCGTTCTACTCCTAATGATTTCAATTAACTTGTTCGGTATTATTACTAAATATACTATATTTGCACCTAAAATAACATTTAGTTTTATCATAGCAATAAGAAGTAATGCACTGATTTGATGTTCATGGAATAGATATGAAATCATTAGTATTGATTTTTAAGTGCGCTATTTCAAGTCACTAAAAGGTCGGCTACATTATTATATTCGTTATCTAAGAGAGTATAAACGAGTGATTGATTAGGTGATGAGGTCATTATTTGTAATAAGAAAGTGTAGGTAGTTTAATTGTGTAAGTAATGATAAGTATGAGGTTATAGAAAATGATTATTTAAACGAAGTATGGGTAAAAAATTGTTTTTTTTTGTTTTTGCTGCTAGCTTGATGCAGATCTAGTTTTGTAATTAAACCTCACCTGTCATTTTAATTGGAAATGAAGAGATAATGATAAAAGTAAAGAAATTTGATAACTTGAGTGAATGACTCAGATACTAAGAAAATAGATAACTTAAATAGGAAATAAGACATTGTAAAAGAATAGAATAGTAACAGACCAGCTCAACAACTCTTGACCAACCTCTCTTCCTCGACTGATAGTGTTCCTCCATCTCCTATACCTGATGTTCACTACCATACCTGCTCTAAATGCTCTCTTCCAATTGGTTGTATCAAAAGAAATGAGCGCCACTACCCTAATGAAAAATATGTCACAAAGAATAATGAAGTTTACCATCTTGCTTGTATGA